TAAGCTGCTGATATTGTAAGGTTTTCAGTAAACCATAACCTTACTGAGATCCAGCAGCCTCCATACAATTACCAACTGAGCACATTGCTCTTAAAATGAGAAACACTGGGTCACATATCATCTTAAAAGTACACCTCTTCAACACCTTTAGATTGCCTCATTTACAGTATTTCCTTATTAAATTTGTCTATTTAATAAATTAATTTGCTACTTGTGTAAGAAATTGTGGTACTACTTTCTGATAAGGCATATTTTGCAACGTATGCTTTATTAATGGTTAATAAATAATTACTAATGCTTTATAGATCAGTAATAAGGCAGTAATAACAACAACTTGGTTTGTGGTCGTTTTGGCTTAACTGCTAACCATCCTTCCAGTGAATTAAAGGAAAATTACTTATTACAACTTGATACTTACTACAACCAATGGCCACAGACACAAAAATAGTAGTAAAACTAATAATTATTAGAATAATAATTTCATAAACAACCAATCAGGATATATTGAAAGTTTAAGAAAATATGATAAAAAGTTATGTTTATAAAAATTTTGTGACTTATTACTGATGCATACCTTAATAAATGATTTATTACCAAAGACATAAGGTCCAAATTATAAACCCCCTAAAAGTATTCCTTATCAGAAAGTGGAACTAAAACCATAACTAATTGTGATATTCATGATAGATCATTATATTTCTGTGTTATAAAGGCAGTGTGAGATGCTTTCCATAAACAGTAGTGACTGCATGAAAAAAAAAAGTATTCATGACCTACTTTTTTTAGCTGTTGAACTCTTTGTCATTATTCATGCACTATTTAAAGACAAGGATTTTATAGAAACAAAATAAACACGGTGACCTTGGTAAAGAACCTCCCTAGCCTGTTGGTTCCATTTGTGTGTTGGTAAAATATTCTAAGTAAACTGATTATTGTATACAGTTTCAAAGCACCACAAATAACTTGCTTTATTTAAAGCTCTGTATGGTATCTGGTAGGGTATAGTGACTTCCCTACCACCTTAATATATTTAAATTATTTATAACTTCAAATGTTTTCTCCCAGTATTGAATTTATAGTGATTTTATTAAACTGAATTGTATTTGGTTCTTATTATACCATCATTATCTTAAATATCACCCACACTTCTGTTGTAACAATTAGTTTTTTTCTCATATGATTGACAGTAAGGACTGTTTGATTACATATAAATATACACATATGCACATATATGCAGCACACATATGGCCGCCCAAATACTCTGTGTGCATATATACATAACAACAACATCATCATCATCATCATCATCCGCTTATCTGGGGTTGGGTCGTGGGGGTAGCAGGTCCAGCAGAGGACCAAACTTCCCTTTCCATGGCCACATCGGCCAACTCTGACTCGGGGATCCCAGTGTGGAGATATAATCTCTCCACCTGGTCCTCGGTCTGCCCCGTGGCCTCCTCCCAGCTGGACGTGCCAGGAACACCTCCCTCGGAAGGCACCTTGGAGGCATCCTCACCAGATGCCCGAATCACCTCAACTGGCTCATTTCTACGTGAAGGAGCAGTGGCTCCACTCCGAGACCAAGCTTCTCACCTTATCCCTAAGGGAGACGCTGGACACCCTGCTGAGGAAACCCATTTTGGCCGCTTGTACCCGAGATCTCGTTCTTTCGGTCATGACCCATCGCTCATGAGCAAAGGTGAGGGTAGGAACAAAGATCGACCGGTAGATCGAGAGCTTCGCCTTTCGGCTGAACTCTCTTTTTGTGACAACAGTGCGATAAAGGCGAAAAACCTTTTCTAAGAAAAAAGCATATAAATAAAGGGACCTATGTATATGTGCGAGTCAAAGAACAATTTATATTTAAATTGTTTATTATAATTATCTGTAAAGTCTTTAACATCTCCCTCCCTCAAAACATGTATGGAAGGATGTACAACTGGCACTGCATCTAACAGCACATATGAGAATGGTATATATACTTACATACTGCACAAAGCCTCTACTGTGGTTACATACAATAATGAATTCTGAATGCATAGAGTATTATGTTACATTCACATCAGTTGACAATAATTAGGTGCTTAGTTGCATGTATGAACGCAAGCCTGGCCATTCAACTACATAGACTGAGGAAACTGCAATTGTACATGCTGTAGGAAATAATGATAGTTTTACCATATATTGTATATATACAGTATATACACAGTACAAGGTTGTATAAGAAAATGTACTTTTTCAGTTTCTTCATGCTACACACAGAATAAGATCATTTAATTTATAATAAAACATATTAAATAAAATAAGCCAATACAGCTACTTATAGATATCATAATAATATTGTTATCATGAATCTTTTGACCGCGATAATCATGTGGTGAAGGTCTAATATCTTGACAGCCCTATTCTTACCCCAGTGTTTCTCTTTCGGACCATTTTAGCTGCTGATCTTTCTGGAATGCAGATGTCATGAAATTTATGTCTAAGCTTGACCTAATTG